ATTGAAGATGCGGATGTCTCGACTAGAACAAGCTCCAGCTCCCTTTTGGCTACCTACTTGAATTAAAACAGTTAGTATAATAGTTCTGGCCTGCTGAGAACGACATGGACTGATAACCGTAGGCTATAGGCCTACTTGGAACCTTGCTCACCACTAGCTGCAACATAGATCATGGAGTTATAAAATTAAGATAATTATAACTCCATGCATAGATTTAGGCCTTTAGGGTAGAATATTGTTAAAAAGGTAGGCCTCTGTAAGTAAGAACTTAAAAATAGGCCAAGCCTCTACTAGTCTAGGCTAGGCCTACTACCAGACTCCAGACGAGGCCTTAACCATCCTACAGGAAAGTTAAAGTTTTGTTGTATTTGTATGTATGCCATATAGTCTTAGCTTAATTGATTGCCATTAGTCTTACTAGGGTCTATTCTAAATATTTTAGGCCCGTTTTATTAGGGAAGACTATTTAAATTTAGTCATGCCTAACCATGGACCTATGGCCTAACTAGTCGTTTGTGGCTCCAAAAATATAAACATTTGATTGGTTGAAATTGTTTATTTCGGTCCGCCCATTTATCCAAATACGGAATATAAGATTACGTCATTCTTTTGGCATCCTGGTGCCTGATTTCAGTGTTTTACAAGTCGCTTATTCCGTCTATAAATCATAAATTAACTTTCTCGTTGGTGGCGCTGTCCAGAATGAGAAAAATAATAAAAAATAAGAGACTTGTGGCAAGTCTAGCTGGTGCCGCGCCGATAGCCATTACCCGCTGGTCACACACACTCACTCTCTCTGGTTTGAAGCTCGCAGATGTCGTTTCCAATATTTTTAGTTGATGCATTTGCATGCAAACAGTTTGAGGGAAATCCAGCGGCAGTATGCCTTTTAACCAATGAGGTATTAATGTGTTTTTGAAACTTGTTTTTATTGGGAAAAAAATTTGCCTTAATTAAACTAAAGAGAAAGGGCATAAGGCCTAGGCCTATCATTAATTCAAACTACTGTACCTACCGCCGAACCGGGTGCTCTAGTCACACACTATCACAGCATGAACAGCCAGAAGTGACAGTTTGAATTAGGCCTAGGCTTAGCCTAGGTTACAGGAGGGACTTTCACAAAGATATAATAGGCCTATATAAATATATAATATTATAGTATTTGTTAGCTTACGAATATCAATTTTTTTTTAGATCTGTGCAATGTAATTTTTGAAATTTATTGTTCCGAAGTATCAAACTAGTACTGTATATTGTTCTTTTTTTTAATACAAATAAAAATGATCTTTGGATAATATCAAATGGTAAATATTAAAAATTGCACATACGTTAAAAAGTGATTAGGCCTATATAAACATATTTAATAGACATTTTTGTCTGTGTGCTATTACATGTTTTTTATATAATCACATTTTAATGTACTGTGGAGTTTTTGATATTTACCGTTTTATATTATCCAAATGATGTATTTTCATTTGTAATTTACAGTATAAGGGAGCTGGGATGTATCATATTATAGTCACATATGCACATTTATACATGAAAAGTAGAATTATCTTTATAAATTATATTGTCTATTTTTTTAATGTTTTGCTAGGTACTCAGTGATGCTCAAATGCTTAAGATTGCAGTGGAGATGAACCAATCAGAAACAGCTTTTGTTTCACCTGTTAATCCATCTGATACATTTCAAACAGGTTTGAAAAGAAGTTAATTACAATTATTAATAGAAGTTAGAACACTAATGATTATATTACTGTATATTCATAATGTATATTCACATTTAGTCATAGTGTACAAAATTAATAACACTCTGCCCACCATACACAACAAACTTCAGAAAAGCATTAAAATTTGCCAAAAAGTCTGGCGGTGGCTGATACTGTACTATTTTTTCCAAACACCCTGGTGGTCAGAGTATTAATAATCAAACTGCCATTCCCTTACCAGAATACATCAAACCCAGAACAAACAGGTGCATGAGGCTCAGCACCAGTAGCAACACCTATAAATTCAGCTTCTTTCCAAAGGCACTAAAAGACTGGGATGCGCTCCCCAAGGAAATCATTGAACTGCCCACTTTAGAGCAGCTCAAGGGTACCATCGAGACCATGTACAGTAATTGGTAGTTATATTGTATATAGTCGCACGCACATATCTGTCTGTCTGCGGCTGAGCACCCTCGTCCAGATGTTGACTGGCTTTGACGAGTATCATAGTAGGTAGTAGATGTAGTATGGTTTAAATGTCCTGTAAAAAAAATATAATTTTTAATGCTGGAACTGGAGTAAAATTGCACTATAGCTCCTATGATGTATCTCCGTTATTCTTTATTCAAACTTTATATAATTTATAGGGGTGAGGGGCATCTTTCACCAGCCCAACTCCCAAACTTCAAAATTTCTGGTTCTAGGGGATAGAAAATCTCTATGTAATTAATTGACTCAACACAAATAATTAAAAATGTTTCTGTATGTTATGTATTTGTTTGCATCTACAGGGGAACATTTCAATCTTCGGTGGTTTACTCCAACTAATGAAGTGAATTTATGTGGGCATGCTACCATGGCAACATCAGCAGTAATATTTGAAAAAAGAGGTCAGTGGTGACAAAAATATGTTGTAATTGGGATACAGTAATAATAACGTTTGAACAAATTATACTGAACCCGTTACAGCTAAAATGTATTAGAATGATATGGTTCTTTTAAGACAAAATCCTGATGAATTTCTTCAATAAGTAAAATGTATTCTATTCTCAAATGCCTCATGTACATTTCTGGTAAAATGAACATACATGTCCTACTAAATAGGCCTGCCAGTTTCAACTACAAGTTTATTAATATTATAACCAGGGCCACCCCCCTCCCCCCTCTATTTTGGAAAATAAAAAAAAAGAAAAAGAAAGAAAAAAAGATAATTGATCGTCTAAAATACCTCAGATGTTATTTTCGGGCGTTTCAAAGCAAAAAATCACAGGGGAATGTCACTAGATCTCCTAGGGTAGTGTTGCCTCGATCGACCAACTTTCAGCCCACCTTCCCCCCTTCTATTCTGACATCTCTGGATCCCCCCCGATAAATATGTTAAAGGAGATATTTTTACTAAGCACATCTTTGTTGTATGGTTGCAGCCTTTGCACCAAGTTTGAAGACAATCCAAGCAGAGATAATTAAAACCAGAACAAAAGCAATAGCTTTTCCACTGTCTTGGGGAAACCCAAAATTAATGATTGTACAATTTAAAATTTTTATGCTATTTTCAGATAATATTAATGAACAATTGACTTTCCATACCAAAAGTGGTGAGTTAATGGTAAGCAAAGTAGGTGATGAGTATGTAATGGATTTCCCACTCAACCACACAGTCCCACAGGTAAGCAGATTGTGATCAGCTTTGTCGTTGTTGCAGGGCTTGATTTAGTACTAGTCCATCGTAGAATGTAAAAACTCCTCTGGGCTAGTAAACCTACCTTGTTACTAGCCCGGTGGGCCAGTGATCAGTTATAAACTATTGCTTCAAGTACGTTTGGCCAAGAATATAATGTTGCTGATATAAAATGTAGCCAATGATTGGGCTAGTAAAATAGCCAATGGGCTAGTGAAATATAAAGAAAACTGGCCCTGTGGCTAGTGACCAAAGAAGGTTAAATCCAGCCCTGTTGTTGCCATGTGTCTAACTGATTTTGTGATGATCAACGTCATTATTGTGTTACCATCATTATCACTAGCAAAACCATCAGTATCTACATCATCATTATTATCATCAGATAATCATCAAACCACTACCACTAACATTATCGTCTTTGTTCATCCTTATCATCATCTCATCATTAAAATTATCAATTGCAGTTACATTCATCTTCATGTTCACTACCATAATAATATTATATAATAATTAAATAATATTATATCTTATCTTATCTTATCTTTTATTTCAACAAACCAATTCGCAGCATATAAGCTGAATTACATGGTGTTACAAAATGTAAAATTTACAGTATATAAAAATTATTTCAAGACAGTTAATTACAAACGTTACTTTAACCCTTTCACTGCTGTAGGTATATGCACCCCCTGTGCTGGGACTTTTTTTAACGAAAAAAGTTAATTTTTAAAATAATTCAAAAAAAATACTAAAAGAGGTTATTTCGAAATTCTTTTTATTATTATCATCAGATAATCATCAAACCACTATCACTAACATTATCGCCTTTGTTCATCCTTATCATCATCTCATCATTAAAGTTATCAATTGCAGTTACATTCATCTTCATGTTCACTACCATAATAATATATAATAATTAAATAATATTATATCTTATCTTATCTTTTATTTCAACAAACCAATTCGCAGCATATAAGCTGAATTACATGGTGTTACAAAATGTAAAATTTACAGTATATAAACATTATTTCAAGACCGTTAATTACAAACGTTACTTTAACACAACTATACAATATAGATACTAATTATATATACATAATTAGATATAGATACTAATTATATATACATGTAAAATAATTATTTAAAATTAAGACATATTCAAATACAAAGTATATAAAATAGGCATCATGTTTATAAATATAAAATATGAACCAGCCTCAATAAAAATAAAACATTTGCCAATGTTATAACTTCACAAATTCTGCCATGTACCACCTGTTAATTACGAGCGTTGCGCACCGGTACAGGTTTAGCATTGCGGCCGCCGTACCAGGCCTAGGTAATTCCATATCATCTACAATGGCTTTAATCCGAATATTTTACAATTGCTACAATTTTTCTTTAAACAGACTCTATCAAATGAATCTTAATAATAAAAAATACGATCACAAAGCCAATTAACGTCACAAAGACGGTTAAAACAGTCTTAACGTTGACAGACAAAACAAAGTGTGTGACTGCTACCAAGCGCCACCAACCAAATTCATAAAACCAAAATATATACAGTATTACCATAATATATTGCCATAATAATCATCGTAAGCATTTCTGTCGTCATCATCATGTTGAACATCATCAACACGATAATAAACGTAATTGTTAAGTGGGGGATTAACAAAATGCCAATCAATCAAAAACATTGATTTTTTATTTGGGTATTGGACTTGCTAGAACAACAATCTCTGAAATTTTCCAAACTAAATAATTTATTGTATTTTTATTTGTAGGATCCAACACCAGTGAAGGAACTAATACAGGTTTGTCTAAACTCAATTTGATAATCATTTATAACTTTTAACCCTATATTATACAATTTCCATTTCTTGCTTTTCCCTGCATTTAGTGCAAGCTTCCAAAATATTTATTTTCTCCTTACACAGCTTAAGATCCTTTATTTTCGAATGGCTATGAACATTACACATATTTTGCTCGTTTGATATAATTTGGAATTATATCAAATATAATATAAAACTGCATAACTACACATTCACAATTTTTTTTGTAAACAGAAACTAATGAATTTTAAAAAAATATTTCCCCAAAAAACAATGTTTAACTTCAGATTGTAATTGGAGATTTGACTCTCAAAGACATTGAATACTCAGAGAAAACTGCAAAACTTTTGATTCGTTTACAAGACTCATGTACAAGGTAAACAGTTGGATACCACATAAAAATCCTTAAGCCTTGTCCAGATTATCAAATTTCCTGTGACAAAATACTGTTATATGCCCATATATAGTCATGATGTGATGTCATCATGACCATATTTAGGCATATTACATGTTTCCACTGGCATTCAGGTTATTTATTATGTAACATATTGAACTAGCTTGAGAAAATTTCCAAATTTTGATGATTCAATATTAAGATAATAAAAGTTAAAAAAAGAACTCAGGATTTGAATTCAAAATTTTTTTCGTAAGCATCTAATAATTCCCAAATCTTTTACTAGTGAATCATATTCTTATTTAAAATTATATGCAGCTCATTAAATTCTATTATATACTTTAATTCCCTTACATTCTCAAAATGCGTTATGAAATTTCTGTTGTTAGTTGAGTATTGGTAAGATTGAACCTCAAGATGTTCAATACGCTGCTATTCCTCACAGAGATGTTGTAATAAGGTTGCCAGATTCAACATCAAGGTGAGACAATCCCCGGTATTCTTCAAACGAACTTTAGTCGTAGTTTTAGCTAAAACTTCAAAATTATGTCATTTCATATTTTTAAAACGAACTTCAACTAGCATTACGACTCAATCATACAAACCCTGACTAAAACGATACCTCTGCAGGCCTATTTTTTTTAGTCGGCCTAGGATCTGACAAAATCACCGACTTGAAATATTTACCTAACTAAAGTGTGATTTTTCTAACTTTATGATAGTGTGAAAAGAATAAAAGCGATTGTAATAAGTAGGTCTGATGTATCTTCTGTGTGTTTAAGGAAATGGACAATTCGTTTAGCTTCCAAAAGGCGAAATTAACATGTTTTGCTAGCCACATGCGATAGTTCATGATTTGCACAAAATCCCCTTGTTCATTTCACTTAGGTTCTCCATAACAACAACAAAAATGGCGTCGCTTTTGCTTGAGCTTAACCATAATAATTTTCCAAAGAATGCAAATTTTCAGTGACTGTTCAAATTCTCTATTGTTATATGTTAACATCTAGTATAGTTATTATTATGGAAAATTGATTTAGACGTAGCTAGAACTTCGACTATGTTGTTTATGAATACAAATTAAACTTTAAGTTGCAACTAGGACTGAATGAAGTTCTAGTTCGAAGTTGACTATAGTTCGTTTTAAGAATACGGGCAAAAGTACTAATACCCGATAACCTGAATGTCATGTACTGAAAGATAATTATGATTTAAAGGTAAAACATTAGAATGGACTTTTCCACTAAACCACGCCCCTTGGATATTGTTGCTAAGGCCCCTACAAAACAGTAGGATAAATGTATGTAAGCATATGTAGGACAACATGTGTGTGTGTTGGGCATAGCACATACTTCTAGCACTGCTCTGGTTGGTCAGTTGTTAAGTTTGATAACACTCGGAAAAGGTCCTTTCATTGGAGCTTTAGCTTGGTGGAAGGTGCTTGCCTTCCAATTCCAGGGTCCTGGTTTCAATTCTTGTCAGTAGCAAGATTTGTTTTAATGGCCAAAACAACTCTGTCCTCTAAGCTCATCATAAGGCTAGTTATAGACAGGATTGTGAATGTGTTTGTCCTGTGTAAAGCATGGACACATACATAACACAGTCAGTGATTAATACAAAAATCTAGTATCAACACCACTTAGATTGAAAAATATTACGTTTTATAACACACCTAAATAGATCACTGTCATTAAATTAGTGGATTTCGTATCATGTGACATTAGTTATTTACCCCATTTATACCATATGTGCATTTTCTTTTCATTCGTTTATTCCCACCTATCTAATACAATTTTTTGATTGGTTAAAGAGGCTCTGAATGGTTCCATTCAGAAAAAGGGTAGATCTTTTTTATAAATTATCAAAATACTATACAAGAATCTCCATTCAGAAAAAAGGTAGATTTTTTCTTAAAATATCAAAATAAAACAAATAATGAATGTTTTTTATTCGTGTAATGGAAAGAATATTTCATTAGTTGAAAGATTTACTGTTCCATCTCGGCTCGGTCTTGTTGGCGCCATTATTTTAACTCATGAATATATTCTTTCCATTGCACTCATGATAAACATTCATTATTTGTATATTAAATGATAAAGCCAACATCACAAATTTTGTCTAGTGTAACATATTCATTTTCTCATATATCTGACAAATGTTTTAGTCTTGTAACATTGTTGCTTTGACTGTCATCAGAGACGTTCTTGAGGGTCTGAAACCAGACACGACGGCCATGATGAGGGCATTCCCAGACAGCCATATCAAAGGAGTCATCGTCACGTTACGTGGGTGTCCCGAAAATGGTGCCAAAGATGAAAGCGGCGAAATGTTTGATTTCATGTCACGTTACTTTGACCCGTGGAATGGAATTCCAGAAGATCCTGTTACAGGTATGTTAAGATGGAGTTGATTTTCATTTGCTATTATAACAAATGTTTTAAAATTATTTTTAAAAAATGGAGTTATTTGCATAACGTTTCCAATTATATTAATATTTTTTTATATTATTTCTTCTAGGATCAGCTCACACAGTACTTGGAAGTTACTGGTCAGGCCAGCTTAATAAGACAGAACTTTATGGTACGTAGGCGATGTGAAAACCCAACTTATTTTGTATTAAATGCTTGTGGTACACCACGTAGATAGTTCAGATATCATCTATTTTGTTTTATTAATATTTTATTAAAACTATTATGATTTTGATAGTCCTAAGTAATCAGCATTTACTGTACGGTTCACCTCCATTAAATATGGTTCAAATTCAATATTTGTTCATGTTTGATTTTTGCCAATCCAAAATGGCATTGACAAATTTTTCCACTTAATAAAATTTGACTTACAGATTGTTAATGTAATGGAAAACACAACAATTTGGCATGTAAAATAAGATCGACTTGGAAATTATTCGAGTTCAGAAATGTCGACTTAGGCTAGTTTAACTCTATTATTGTTTATTATTTGTTTATTATTTGTTTTGGGTTAAAAATGATAAATAACTTCTTGTTTTCATTATTATTTTTATATACGGTACACCACAAACAGCACTATCTTAACAGATATGACTTTAGCGGTTCCTGTTAGATTGAATCCTTTATTATAATATGACGACAATACTGTTAATAATATTTTTAGTTATATATTAATAATATGTGACAAAGACAAGTCAATGTACTTATCCCTTGTGATAAAATTATTTGTTGGTTTGTTCTCCATTTCAGCCAGACAGTGTTCAGCAAGGGGTGGTAATGTTCGGCTGAGTGTGAAAAAAACGAGAGTTAATTAACAAAAAAGAAATACAAATTGATAAGCTAATAACGAGGCTCAATACTATAAACTAGTATTTAAAAGACAAACAAGATAAACAAATCTCTGGTCTAAGTATTTAAGCATTGGCAAAATTACTAGCTAAATTCTATGGTGACGATATCGTAGAAGATTTTTTTTGATTGGCGATGTTTTTGTCCTGTAAATGGGTGCAATGTTGAATTAGTAGTCAAATATAAAAGTTTGGGTTCCTTATTCTCACTTCGCACTTTCTGTAGGCTTGCTGTAGGCTGCAATTGAACCTTTCGGTATTCTGCCTACTGTATATAGGCAACGTGCTATTTTTCCCTTAAATGCACTGGTTTTCGTTGTGGTCCAGTTAGAACGTAAAAAATACAAAAGTGATAAAATGAAAAGGAAATTATAAGGAAATTTTAACAAAAAGGACTTAATTACAAAAAAGAGATATTAATTATTTTAGAGCATTTTTAAAGGTATTTTGATTTAAATTCTGGAAATCACTAGTTATGTTACTAGGTAGTTCGTTCCAGTTCATGGATGCTCAATAGTGAAAGGTGATGATAATGCTAGTAATAATGATATAAAATATTGATATATTTAATATCATTATCAATAAAATAATGATATGAGTGAAAAAGCTAATTAAATATGCAAGCCATAATTCCAGGTTCCTGGTTTTCATTCCATAGAATTTTTTTTTCTCATGAGTAAAATCGAAAGCAACATTTAATTCCATCCGATAATGTTTGAATTACAACTCAGTATATCATACAGCTGACTATATCATGACATATGAAATAATTCAAAAGTCTGATAAAAAACCTCTTAAATTATTCATAATGCATCTGTTTGTCTCAGTTGTCTGTAATTCTATAGTCTTGACAGAATTTCTTTTTTTTTTTTTGCCAGAAATTATGTAGTATATTATCAACATCACAGCATGTAGCCCTGTCCCGTGTCATGCACACACCTTAGCAGCTTAGATCGGGTTAACTTTACCTCACCTTGAGACCCATCTCGCACAGTGGGATCCTTGTTCTAAGAGCTTCCCAGGGCCTAGCAACTGGGATAATTCAATTTAGTGTTTCCATAGCAATGTGTGGTCGCTTTTAGGTGGGATTGAATATTATTGTTATTCTTTTGCTGATTCTCCTGAAATATGTGAGAGAGAGACAATAGTTAAATTCATGTCACTCACTAAAAAAAGATCTATTATTATCCAGTTGCCTTTGCTAATATATATATGTATGTATGTATGTATGTATATAATTTGGCACGTTGTTCTATTCAGGCGCCGCAGACATGATCCGGGTGGAGGGTTTGGGAGAAGGGTGTTTTCCCTTCCCAAATTAGGAAATTTTTGAAAATAATAAACCACTAGACACTCATACACGGCATCTCTTTTCTGTAGTTTTCTAATAGATTTTGTAATAATTTATTCTTGTAACAATCCCTTATGTGTATCTATTATGTTCATTATATATCCGACTACATTTACTGTAAATTGATATGCTTGGTTAATGAAAAATTACTATCGTCGCAAAAATCTGGTCCGGAACTGCTGTATCATAAATTAGTACTAGCTACGTATTTTTTTTCAGTACAGTAAGAATTTGTATGCCATTAAAATTGTAGCTTTTTTGTACTATATAAACCCTTCTCTTTCGGGGCAACAAAATATCAGGCCCTTCAAGAGCTAGAAATACATATAGTGAGTGGGCATGTCACTGGTAGTCTCTAATAAGGCAGAAAGACTCAACACACGAAGCTCAGCATAAAACATAATCTCACAGAGTGTACAAATTCCATTCCAAAGTTAATAATAGATCTATGTGGTAGTATCTTGCCATTCCAAGTACGGTACATCATTACAGTTAAAACTATATCAATGTGAATTTTCAATGTTTTTAAGTTCACTATAAAGATAGTAAAGTGTTGTATTTGAATCAGAATGACAAGAAATATTCAGGTTTTTAATTTTTGATTACACTCTTTTTTTACCTTTTTTTTAAGTCTCAAAATATTGGCAGTAAACATAATGTAACAGCCAGACCATTTGGTGCTGGAGATGCTGTTTCTCCTGGTACAGCGACAGTGGTACATAAGCAGTTTAACTCTCCCGCAGGATTGTATTCCGCCTCAAATATTGCCGAGACTTTTAAGGGACAGACGGAAGGACTAATCGCAGGCCACATGCTTGAAGGGTAAGCGATCATCAGTTTGTTGGTTTACAATTTCAATGGATCCCAATCTGAAAGTCGTGTGGCAGTCTCCCAGAAATTAGGAAGGCCTCCCACTAGCAAAAAAGACCTCCCGGGAACAATAACCCATCTCCTGCAAATGCATGATATTTGCGTGTCTTTACTACTGTTATATCAATTGTCTCCTAGATGTCAGTCCTGGTAGGTGTCACCTTACACAGGGAAATAAAATTGGATGCGAAAGGTCATTTCACCAGATCTCCCAGAAGTAGCTTCCGCCAGCTTGTGACCCCCTGAATTTCTTTAATAAATAATAGGAAAATTATTAGTATCTTTTTATGTAATGGACTGTTCCACAAAACCGCGCCCTATGGATATACATGAAAAGGACCTAATGTAAACCCATACATTTATAGGACAACACATGTTGTCAGTTGTTAACTTAGAATTGACACTCTGGAAGCCTCATTATCATGGTATTGACATTATACCAGGCTACTTCTAGCCCTTATCTGTAACAGGTTTTAGTGAGAGCAGTATGTTGGTGGTCTAGGTATTGTATTGAGGTTCTAAATGATGATCAGATTTAATCAGATCACCCTCTTGCAATGATACTATCAAACAAATTAATAAAAAATATTAATTATTATATTAAAACCTGCAAAAAATATGACTGCGATTATGTATAACTATAAAATATAGTATCAGCCAGTAGAAATGATATTCAGCACAAGATTTGTATTTTGGCGTCATTCTCATTGTCGTCGTTGTCATCTTTTAAATCTCTAAATTTGAAATTTTGTGCTAAGACATTATCCCAAATTAGATTTGAATCAAATAATATTATTATTTTTTTAGGGAGGAAGAACCTCAGGCTGTAAGCAGCCCAGGTGTACAGTCAAGATCGTTTAAGATGTTGCAACAACACATCGGCGATGAAGTTGATGGTAAGAACTGACTTGCTTTCATTTTTAATTGACAAAAACTATATTATTGTCAATAATTATAAAAAATAACTTATAACATCATGATGATCATTAGTATCATCATTATAATCGTCATCATCATCATGATTTCATCATCATAATCATCATCATCATCAACATTATCTTCAACATCATTATCATTATCATCAACATCATCATCATCATCCATCATCTTCATAATCAACATTATCATCAGCATCATCATTATCCATCATCATCAACATTGGTGCCAGTTTGAGCTACTCCTTGTCCAGGGTTCGGTTGGTAGAAATATATTTTCTCATGTTTACTTAAAATTCCAGTGTACAAATCTAGGTCGTGTGCACTTTAAAGAACCCATTGTATCTTTCGGAAGAGTAGGGGGGTTACCCCGATGCTATGGTTCATTTTAGCCGCTGTCTTTACGGAATAATGTGGACATGAAGCTAGCACCCCTTCACCACTGCTTAAGTAGTCACGGACCACGCCCCTTCGCGATTCAGTACAATGGGGCTGTGAGTTGTGGGCTCTTACCCTTTACCTATCTCTATCGTCATTATCATCAATATTTCATCCTTATCATCATGCACACACCACTATCATCATCATAATCATTATCAAAATATCATCTTCATCTTTCTCACAACTAATCATCACCACCGCCATTATCATTATCATAATCATAGCCATTCACCATTATATACTTTTTTGTTATATGCATTTATTATTAACTAAAACTAACCCATAACAACAAATATGTCTGCATGTATTTAGGTAATGTTCAGCATGCGCATACAGTCAACGTACCTTCATCAACAGATCCAACAGCCTACTCCTCAAACTCTACCGTTGAGACAGACAAACTCAAGTATCCGTCTTATTTCAAGAGAATCGAGGCTCCGTTTGGTAAAAAATATCAATGCTTGTAACAACAAAAAAAGCAGTTTAATTTTTTTTTTCTGCTAAGCTCATTAACTTGCAGTCATAGGTGATTACAAGATGTTGTCAGCTGGTGTGGGATCTATGTATTGTTAAAAGAATTATGTTTGTAAATTTTTTGTGTCGGTTTTCAAATTAAAACTTGCTGTTTATTAAATATGGATAACTTTAAATTTGTTGGAGAAATCGTAGCAATTGATTTGTTTTATAATTTTTTGCATATAGTCATCAATTTAGAAATGAGAGTATGAAAACTTTGAAGATGAACAAATGTAGTTTAAATTATTTAATAATACTGTAATAATGAAAACTCATTTATGGAAATACTTGTTCACCTCAATGGTGTTTTTTAACAAGGCTGTAAAAATATTTTGAAAATATTCAAAACAGAAATTCAAATATAATGGTAAAAAGATGACAAATTACAAAAGATAATCACATACTAAATGAAATTTAATAACATTAACTAAACTAATGATCTTAAATATACTTACACTGTTAATGTAATTTTCATTTAAAATTTTTTATTTTCATTTTAAAATTAGAATTGTATTTGAGTTTTTGAGGTCAATGATGGCTTGCATCAAATTCCAGTTATACTTTTTATGCAATATAACGTCTGTTGGGGATGATCCATGGGTTACGTAAATTTACTATTTTTCTGGTTTCTGCTTCTCAAGATTTAGTTCTTTGCTTATTTAATTTAACTATTTGTTTGCTATGAAGTTGCTTTGTCATTGTGGGTGTCTTTTAAGCAGGTTATAATGAGGAAAATATTATTATTTAAATATTTCATTTAAAAAGTAGTTCAAGTGCTTTCCTAGCCATCTCAAGGTCCTGTTCAAGCTATCATGATTTTTTTCTTTTATTTAAAATTGCTATCTTCCACACAACACAAAACTAATATGGCCATTTTAGTCAATTATTGATAGAATCAATTGAATTAGTTAGCATCCTCATTTGCTGATGTGCTTATAGTGGAAAGGTAAATACAGTGTTCGCATAAAGGACATAATAATACATCGTGTAGCATAGCTCGCAACGAATGTAGTCCTGTAAATAAATGAATAAAGAAATTGTGTAATAAAATGCC